GTGATTAGCAGGCTAATCACTATCCTAAATAGTCGGGGTTGGCAACCCCGACTATTTAGGATAGTGATTAACCTGCTAATCACCCTTTAATTAGGGTTTAACACCCTCCTAAATAGTCGGGGTTGCCAACCCCGACTATTTAGGATAGTGATTAGCAGCCTAATCACAAAACCGGGTCGATTTTGATAAATAAAAAAAAAAACAGTCGGTTTTGAAAAAAAAAAAAAAAAAATCAGTCCGTTTTGAAAAATTGTTCTTTTCATAATTTTCCCCAAAAAAAAGGAAAAGAAAGAAAAAAAAGATGTTTAATATATACTTCATTTAACTTGATTGATCTTGATTGCTTTATGTGCAGGCTGTAGGTGCTAAAGGGAAAGGCCAAGCATAGCAACATTCAATCACTAAATATGTTTTCCATGTATTCCTACATATTTTATTCTTGTAGATATGCCACTGAAGGGATGTACTTATTGTGCAATAATCGATGTGTAAACAGTATTAAAATGGTATTATTGCCTCTATATGAACAATCTTTGTTGAAATTTTCTTTTCTTCGATGAATTCAAAAGATTTTGCAATATATCTCTCTCAATTTGTTGAAAACACATTCATCTTCCCAATACTCATCAGAACAACTTGTACGGTTATATGCCAGGTTATGTCAGTTTCCTTCATTGATGGACCTTTTATTTATTTTTTTTTCCAATCTGCAACATTTTTTTCATGGATTTATGCGAAAGTATCAACACCATTGGAAGAATGAACAAGTGAATTTGCGAACATTTTTTTTTCTCTTTGGCTAATTGTAGTTTTCTTAGTCCTTAATGAAGGTGCTTATATAAGAAAGAGCATACACGATATAGGACGCTTAATCTGAGTTAGAGTTTATTTAGATTAAGAAATATAGATTAGAAAATAAATTTAATTTTAGAGTCAAATTAGATTAGGAAACAAAATTAATTTTGATTCATGATTTGTTTCCTAAATAAATTTAATTTTAGAGTCAAATTAGATTAGGAAACAAAATTAATTTTGATTCATGATTTGTTTCCTCTATTATAAGGATTAGGAAACAAAATTAATTTTGATTCATGATTTGTTTCCTCTATTATAAGGAGTCTTTTTAGGATAGGATTTGACACTTTTTTTTTTAAATTCTAGTCTTACTAGGAGTCTTATTTGATACTTTCTATTTTTATAATTCTAGTCTTACTAGGAGTCTTGTCTTATTTGATACTTTCTATTTTTATAATTCTAGTCTTACTAGGAGTCTTATTTGTTTTTCTATTTAAAAAGAGTCATGTAACCCCAAAGGATTATAATTCTAGTCTTACTAGGAGTCTTATTTGTTTTTCTATTTAAAAAGAGTCATGTAACCCCAAAGGATAATAACTTTCATCAATAAAATTTCTCTTTTAATATTTTCTTCGTGGATTCGAAGATCGTTCTTTGTGGATTCAGAGAACACCATTGGTGGATTCCGATGTTATCACTTCCGTGTTGTGTCAATTGGTAACTGATGTAGGACGTTTAATCTGAGTTGGAGTCTATTTAGATTAGGAAATAAATTCAATTTTAGAGTCAAATTAGATTAGGAAACAAAATCAATTTTTATTCATGATTTGTTTCCTCTATCATAAGGAGTCTTTTTAGGATAGAATTTGACACTCTTTTTTTTTAATTCTAGTCTTACTAGGAGTCTTATTTGATACTTTATATTTTTGTAATTCTAGTTTTACTAGGGGTCTTATTTTTTTCTATTTAAGAAGAGTCATGTAACCCCAAAGGAGAATAACTTTCATCAATAAAATTTATCTTTTAATATTTTCTTCGTGGATTCGAAGTTCTTTGTGGATTCGGAGATTGTTCTTTGTGGATTCAGAGAACACCCTTGGTGGATTTCGAGGTTATCACTTCCGCGCTGCGTCAATTGGTATCAGAGCCTTGTTCCTCCGATCTGATGGCAGGTGATGTTCTCGAGCTGAGTTCGACGTGCTAAAGGCTGATGTTAATCAGATGAAGACTGCCATGGAGCGACTTGCGGCGACAGTTGAGCATCTGAACACGGCGGGAGTTCAAAATCGCGTTGATGGTCGCCAACGACGTGATCTGACTTCACAAGATAAATTCTACAACGATGATCATAGATGCTACCGAAGAAAGGAGAACTATGATGCTGGAGGATTAAAAATACCATCCTTCAATGGAAAGCTTCATGTTGATGATTTCCTTGATTGGGTTGATAAACTGGATAAGTATTTTGAGTATAATATAATCCCAGAAGATTGGAAAGTTAAATTAGTGGTCTACAGGCTTAAAGGAAAAACATCTGCATGGTGGGATAAAGTACTGATAAATCGATACCATCAAGAAAAGGATCTGGTTCGAACGTGGGCAAAGATGAAGAAATTATTGAGAGATTGTTTCTTACCTTCTAACTACAAGCAATGACAGGTGTCTCTAGTGACAAACAACAAGACGCTCACCCCCAGAAAGGAATATTTTGTCACATACAAGATTCATCCTGAGGTTCCTGATGTTTGATGATGATATGTTAATGAAGATGAATATTCTACATGATATTGTGAGTGATGTTACACATATTGATATTATCCCGATGGAGGAGAAAGATAAAATAGAGAGTGAGATAATTGATGGTATGTGTGCATTGCTTGGTGGAGAGCTTGAGATAAGGGAGATGAAAGAATTGTGTATGGAGTATGATGAAGAAAATTATTTTTTTGAAGCAATAATCATCAATAATTTTAACAATGGTGAGATGATGCCATCGACACTAGAATATGGAAAGCGACAAGGAAAATATTTGGAGGAGTTTTTCATGTCAACTACAGAACCATATGCTGTCAGTTACATACACTTATCATGAAAAAGATTCATACACAAGTTTGATACAAAAGAAATCCTAGCAGAGGAGGTAAAAGAACAAATGGAAAAAATCAATACTAAATATAAGGCGGATGCTCATCATTGCAAGAGAAGAAAATTATTTATCAATGGAGCTACTATTCTAACAAATATAAGCTCGGGATCGAGCTTCTTTCAACAAGGGGAGGCTGATGTAGGACGCTTAATCTGAGTTGGAGTCTATTTAGATTAGGAAATATAGATTATGAAATAAATTCAATTTTAGAGTCAAATTATATTAGGAAACAAAATCAATTTTGATTCGTGATTTGTTTCTTCTATTACAAGGAGTCTTTTTAGGATAGAATTTAACATTTTTTTTTATAATTCTAGTCTTACTAGGAGTCTTATTTGATACTTTCTATTTTTGTAATTCTAGTCTTATTAGGAGTCTTATTTGTTTTTTAATTTAAAAAGAGTCATATAACCCCAAAGGAGAATAACTTTCATCAATAAAATTTCTCTTTTAATATTTTCTTCGTGGATTCGGAGATCGTTCTTTGTGGATTTAGAGAACACCCTTGGTGAATTCCAAGGTTATCACTTCCGCGCTGTGTCAATACAGCTCAAATAAGTAGCTTGATTAACCAAATTCCTGACCAAAGAAACTATAAAACATAATGATTTATTCTCTGGTTAACTTTGATGACATTGTCAGAGGATCACCTTTTTTTGTTGCATAACCCCATCTAGAATCCAACTCATGACGGTGGGAGTTATATCGAAACCTTCCGACCGTTCGGATTACATGCGGTGTGTAACTTCTTTATTTGTCTTAGGGGGTGTTTGGTTGCACAATTTTATAGAAAAATTTTCTCAAAATGTTTGACAATGACAATTCTGTAATTAAAATTTTTCTATAGATTTCTGCAAACTGTGTTTGGTTCAAAAAAATTACAGAAATGTTTTCTGTAAAGTATAAAAAAATACCAAAATTTACAAAAATCAATTTTCTTTCAAAATGGGTGGAAATCACCCAGAAATCTAACACAACATTGATATTTTTCTATAAAGTTGACACTTTTCTATAAATTTAGGGCGTGTTTGATTCAATTTCTACAAATTATAATAAATCTTGCTATTTTCTATAAAGTTATGAGCCATTTTCTTGTTTTGAGCCAAACAAGCAAAGTAAAAAAAAATTTGTACTTTTTGACTTCTCAAAACTTTTCCTATAATTTTTTAAGAAATACAAGAAAATCATATTTTTGGTGGAAAATATTTCCTATAATTTGTAGAAATTGAACCAAACACCCCATTAGTTACCGAAGAATGATGCTTGCTCATTAGAGGTTAAGATTGTCCTATCAAACATTTTAAGGTTTAAATAGTCAATGAACATTTAGCAATTTGTCAAGTTCAGTCCTCTATAAATGAATGAAAAATAGTGTTAGCAAGTAACAATACTAAAAATTTGACATTATTCCGATACTATTATTAGAATAAAAGGAGTAACTTCTTTGTCTTATTGTACTAAATAATAAATAAAGAGAAATGTTTTTTTCCCCTGTAACTCATTGGCGTCATTTGATAATGCGTTAAGTGAGGAGTTAATGGGAATTTCTCTCTAACTTGCCTAACATTAAAAATTTACACGATAAATAAAGTAAGTCAACATGTCTTTATGTGCCAAAGGAAGAAAATTACAATAAGACTCGAGATAATCTCTCTAGCCATTTTACAATAAAGGTAATATATGCTAACCTTTCGATATATATATTAGGATAGGGTTACAATGCACCTAGGGTGTAACTAACTCAGTTACACCTGCCTGTAAAAGTACATGTTTGAGCATCAATATTAACGATCAACACCGTTCATTATGATCTACATGTCATCAAATAAGTGTGAATCAAATATCATGTGGCTTGGGATTTTCTATCTTATAATTCAAGCAACTCAAAATAGCAAGTTGTTTAGCTCGTTACAGACCATTCATTTCTGGGCTATTAGATGTATAAACCAGAAATATCTTATCTATGTGATATTTTTCATCTCTATGAAGTTTTGAATACATAGACCATGATGAACGATATTGATTATTAATATCGATGTTCACATGTACTTTTACAGGTGGGTGTAACTGAGTTAGTTACACCCTAGGTGTATTGTAACCATATATATAAAGAGAGAGAGAGAGAAACATGCACGCACATACACGCCCGCACACGCACAACACCCACCCGCCCGCACATAAGCAGAAGACTTGTTTTTGATGATATGCTAGTCTTTCCTGACATACAGTAAATTGAACAGTAATTGATTGTGGAGCCCACTTCCTTCCACTGACATATTTCCCACAATTTTAAATCACAGCTAAAAATTTGAAATTCGAATCTCCCCCAATTTCAAATCATTGTTGTCATATATCTGTATCAGCTCAAAATTTAAATTTCAAAACACCTCCAATAATTCTCACCTCGACCCTCATTCGTCAGAGATAAAAAAATCGCCTCAAGAAATCATCGCAAACGATCTCTGCCTTCCGATCCCCGAGTATAGACAATCGCCGATCCCCAAACCTAAGCTCAAACGCCTCAAGAAATCATCATTGTCGTCCTCAGCAGCAGAAGCAGCAATCCCCGCTTGGAGTCTTCGATTTCTCCAATGCTGCTCTCTGTCTCTA